ACCATGGGGGGGTGCACAGGATCTGCAATGGCTCAATATTTTGTTTGTTATCTTCTGGTTTTGTTCATTGGTTTTTTCATATCACAAAGGCTCCCTTTTTCATTTTTAGATTGCCAAGCCTTTCTTCCTGGTCTTAGTTTTGAAACTTACACAGCATCCTGGCAACACGGGAGCCTCGCTGACTGATGGGTGGTGGCCGCGAAGTGAACCCGGGTCTCCCCCCAGGAAGGCGGGAATTCTACCACGGAACCACCGGAGAGGGACATCATGCTTGGAAAGGCAGAGGGTTGTTGAAATAGAGGAAGAGCGCCAGGCAAGTGGGCTGACACAGGGGCTGCGGCAATGGGCTCTACTGTGGCACAGTGATGAGGCCGCCACAGGACAGGACAGGGTTCAGATCTGTTGTTAGCGACGGGTCATACTCGACTCAACGTCACCTGACAACAACAACGTCAGTTTCCCCCTCTGCATTCTCTTACAGAGCTAGTGACGAGACAGGAAGACATTCTCTATCTTAGACATCACCTGCCCCACTTATTCTGCCATTAAGGAAATCGGGGTTTGGAGAGAGAGGGAAGATGTCTTGCTCAGAGTCCCATGTGAGCTGACGGTCTGGGCCTGGACCTCTCTGACTCTCTCCCTGGTGAGGCGCTCACTGCCTCCACCCTCCTGTTTCGTTCAGGGGTGCCCTTCGGGCATTGGGGTCCCCGGGCCAGCCCTTTGTGGGGCTCCTCCATTCACTATCCACAGGCCCACGTGCCGCAGCTGGTTTCTCTATCTGCAATCTCTTGCTCAGCAGTCAGTCAGGGATCATAAAACAAGGTGATTCAGGTGTGGACTGTGACCAGTGCCCCATGTCTTGTCAGCGTTCCCTCCCGTGGCCCTGAGGACACCAGCTGAGGGCAGAGTTCTGGTCACCTCAAGAACATTCTCTTAGCTCCACAAGCCCTTCGGTCAGCCTCTGTTAGACCCTTTAATCATAAGATCTCCTTAGGGGATCTTCTACATGTGAGTCCTTGAGTGTTGAGGGGCCTGGGAAGTTCCTCTCCTCAGCTCCCCAGAGTTCACAGACTGGGGCAGGGTCCAGAGAAACAGCCTGGAGGGTTTAGTTAGGAGAACAGAGGACAGAAAGGCCTGTCTAAAAAGAAGGACGGGCACATGCCGGAGTATGGAGATGGAGTAAGGAGCATATTTGGGGAACGGTGGAAGGACCTTGTGGCTGGCTTCGAGAGTCTGGGGGATTCAGTCTTTGCATATATTTATTCGCGTGTCCTGCACTGTCCTGGGCACCGGGGTCGTAGCTGAGTACAATGATAAACTGGAGGGAAGCTCAACAATTCCAGGGGGTTCGCACAGCTGCTGTTCACTGAGCCCTGTTTATGTGCCCGGCCTATCCTGGGCACCTTATATGTCCCCTCATTTTCTTTTTATTTTTTAAATTGTGTGTGTGTGTGTGTGTGTGTGTGTGTGTGTGTGTGTGTACCATCAAATCGGATCTGACTGGCACAGGAGGAGATTGTTCCTCCTTCTCCAGCAGAGCATCTGGTGGATTTGAACCACATGCCTCTGGGATTGCAGTGGAGCTTCTTGCCACTAAGCCACCAGAGCTCCCTTGTATGTCCCCTCATTTAATCTACCCATGAGTCGGGCCCCTGGAGGAGGCAGGGCTTGACCCCAGGTGGGGAGGTCTTAGCAGAGAGGGAACGGTTATTCCAAGTGTTGAAGGATTAGCAGGTGTTTCGTAGCTGTGTGTGCTCAGGGAGAAGCACCCACGTTCCATCAAGTTGCTGGAAGCAGGAACCCCAGGGCCGCGTCTAGAATCTCTTACTTAAACGATGCTTTGATGCGTCGCTCCCGGGGAGCCCTCCCTTCAAAACCAGCTGGCACCGATGAATGATGGCTTTCAAGGAGTTCTGAGAAATACATTGCCAGGACTTTCTTCAGATGCACCTCTGGGTGGAGTCAAACTTTGCACCTTTTAGTGAGCAGCCCGGTGTGTCAGCCCTTTTCACCGCCTGGGGCCTCCGAGCTGCCTGAGCGCAGGTTTGCACATTCCACTCAGCCCCAGCTCTACTGCTTCACCGATAAAACAAGGCGTGGTATCACCTCCTGGCACCATGCGGCCGTCTTTGTAAGCACGAATGTCACTCATAGATTTGACAGGGAAGTGGGAGAAAATAAAACAAAAAAACCTGATGAGAACAGCAGTGCTTGTGAATGCTATCGACCTAGGTAAGAGGGAGCTTATGAGAGCCCTGGTGGCCTAGTGGTAAGGAACGGTGCTGCCAACCCAAAGGACTGCAGTTCGAATCCACCATCTGCTCCATGGGGGTCAGCTATGAGTAGGTTCTAAAGCGACAGAACAACAATGTAAACATTGCAGACACTTCCTAAATTTCGGTAGGCTGACTGGGCTCTCAGAATGGAAGGAAGCAACCAAAACTAAAGATGACATACTCATTTCTAGAAACAAGTAATCTGTTTCCACATTTGAAAATGCAAGTTTCCAGGGAGCTCTGGCGGCCTAGAGGCAAGAAGCTGCACTGCAATCCCAGGGGTATGCAGTTCGAGTCCACCAGATGCTCTGCTGGAAAAGGAGGGGCAGTCTCCTCCTGTACCAGTCAGATCTGATTTGATGGTACACATACACAAAATAATATTTAAAAAAAAAGAAAGAAAAGCAAGTTTTCATGGCAAAGTTCAGTAAGCCAGCAAACAACAAATGCTGGTGAAGATACAGAGGGATGGGAACTCTCGTATATACTGCTGGGGGGACTGCAAAATGGAGCAAAACCGTCAAGTTTGAGACTTTAAAAGCTGAAAACGGAAATAACATTTGACTTGGCCATCCCGGAACACCAAACGAAATGTTTCACACTGTGGATGAGAGATGTCCACCCAGCTGACGCAAAAAGATTCGCAACTGTGCCCTTTCCAAAGAAAAGGTGGGCCTGCAGAATTCAGACATTACTGAGCCGAAATATTGACAGTACATGCGCGGAAAACTTTGGTGAAGATAATGCAAAAACACAGCAAAGAGATACGGAACTGCCAGAAATTCCAGATGGGTTCAGAAGAGGATGTAATCACTGCTGACCTCAGATGAATCTTGACTACGAGCTGGGTATACTGGAAAGGTGTCTGCCTGCATTTTATTGACTGTACAAAAGTATCTGAGTGTGGATCACAGCAAATTAGGGATAACACCGAGGAGAGCGGGAATTCCAGAACACTTAACTGTGCGCATTCAGAACCTACAGATACAGAAAAGCAGTCACTGGGACAGAATGAGGAGGTGCTGCATGGTTTGACATCTGCAAAGCTGTGTGTCTGGATCTCATCCTGTCGCCGTACTTAACTCACTCTGTGTGCCAGACAAATAATTCACCAAACTGGACTCTGAAAGTGGCATCAGGACCACAGGGAGACTCATGAACACGGTCTGATGCCACACCCGGTTTGCTGAAGAGGATCTGACACACTGCCTGATAAACATCAGAGGCTACATACAGCCTCCAGGATGGGGTGCATCTCCACGTAAAGAAAATAAATCTTCTTCCGTCTATATCAATAAGCAACATCACGATAAACAGAGAAAAGACTGAAGCTGTCAAAGATTTTGGATCTGCAATCAACACCCACGGACACAACTGTCATGAACACAAATGGTGTCTTGCAAGGGCCAAACACACTGCCAAGGACTGCCTTGAGGTGTTACAGTGAAAGGATATCACTTTAAGGACTAAGGTGCACCTGACCCAAGACATGGTCTTTTCCATCACCTCTGCTGCCTGTGCAAGTTGGACAATGATGTTCTGTTGAGCCAGAACTAACTCACAGTCAACCTTCCAGCAGGTTTTTCAGAGGCTGTGAATTACACAGGAGGAGACTTTCTCCCACAGAGAAGCTAGAGGATTCGAACCATGTACCTTTGGTTTGCAGGGTGCAACGTCTTACCACTAAGCCATCAGAGCTTCCTAGTGTTGGAGTAGAGCACTGAACCTATCACTGACTGCCGACAACATCTTCAACATCGCTGACACATTTGCGTCCCTCACTGATATAGGCACCATGTCAACCCATCTTGTCAATCCATCTTCCTCTCTCACACTGTCCCTCCATCTTTCCAAACATGATGTCTTTTTCCAAGGACTGGTCCTTCCTAACAACATGCCCAAAGAATGTGAGACGGTGTTTCAATGTCTTTGCCTTCCAGGAGACCCTGGCATCACCATCTCCAGGACAGAGATTGTGTTTGATTTTGTTTGTTCTCCTGGCAGTCCACGGGACATTCAATACTCTTCCCCAACACCACAACTCAGACACAGATCCTTCTGTCTTCTTTAGTCACTATCCAAGTGGCCGTTATAAAGGGCTGGATGTGTGCGCCTGGGAAGGGCCCAAGCATTTTCCGCATCATCTCATTCAAGCCCAACACCAGCCCCACAAAGCAGAAAGCACTCTTGCGCCCAACTAACAGATGAGGAAAACTGAGGTCACAGCCATCCCTCGTCACAGCTCTGATCAGAACCCAGACAATCTGGCTCCAGATGCTGGTGCCCAACTGCTCCCCATCAAAATCCCACGTATGATTTCACGAACGCATTGATAACTGGCTGACCCACATGCGTCATCACACGCTGTCCTCGAAACACCATCAGAAAAAGAGAAGTCACATATTTTTTAAACAGAAACAAGCAAGGCTTACATTAATTGTTCCACATGTCAGAGACATTGACAGAAGGCTGCGGTGAGATTTGAACCCGTGATTTTCAGATCCCAGCACTTCTACGCCAGGCAGCTGGAATTACATCTTTGCACTGGGCCAGAAACCCAACAGGAGGGTAGGCTTCCCTGGTGAAGCCACCGGATACTATCCTCATCACCAATCAGGGCACAGCACATCAGAGGTCACCACAGGCCTAGACAGCACTATGACCACCCATGGCCACAGTCGCAACCCCCACAGTGGTCTACTCAGCCACACCACTGCCACTCACCACCAGGGGCCCGCTCCGCCTGTCCTTGCAGAAGCTGTGGCTCCTCCGAGGGCCCGCGACGGAAGGGGACACTCGCCGGGTAGGCTGCTCATTGACTTCGGGGACGTCCTTCTTCTCCAGGTCCCGTGGCGGGATCTAAGGGTGTAAACACAAGGGAGAACTTGACTCGGGAAGGTCACAGCTCCAGGAAGAGCGTCACTAGCATAAAGTTCCTCCCCACATGAGCCCATCCACCTGGGGAAAGAACCACATGGCCCCACCAGCTACAGGAGTTGATGGGAACCAGTGAGGCTGAGCTCAGGACGCGCATGGCACTGTGCCACCACCAGGGGGCCGACTGCACGGCCCTGGGCACCTGGCTAATCTCCCTTCACCTCTGGGGAGCCAGGCACCTGTTAGGTGCTGTCAACTCAAATACAATGTACAGCGATGCTGTGGACAGCCAGCCCGAATCCTGCCCCCCCGTGCCATCCTCATCACGTCTGCGACCTAAGAGCCCATTGCTGAAGTCACAGCGTCAATCCATCTCCTGGGGTCTCTGCTCTGCTTCGCTGACCCTCCACCTTTCCAGACATGATGTCCCTCTCCGTGTCCTCTCACTGGGAGTCCTCCACAAATGCCATTAGATGTTGGGTGTTATCAGTCGTCCCTGACTCACGGCGACCCCAGGTGACAGAGCGGAACTGTCCGCACAGAGTTTTCTAGGGAGCTCTGGTAGATGGGAGTCTTTTCCTTCGTAAGAGTCACTGGGGGGGTTAGAACCAGCAACCTCCCACTTAGCAGGTGTGAGACTAAAGATTGCACCAGCAGGTCTCCTTCCATAAACATTAGCCACCCTCATGGCGGCATGGTCGTGCAGGGGGACCCCACATGTTCTCCATGGAAAAAAAATGTATGCATGACTAGATACTCAGAGAAGGCAGACAGACACAAGCGGGTTTGTTTTTTATACACAGAAAACACACTTGCAGGTTATGAGACCGGGAAGGGGGGTGTGACCTGCCTTCCGCTCCCATCACAGATGAGGAAGAGGAGGCCCCGAGAGGGCCTGGGGGGGTCATACACACAGTACTCTTTCAGAGCAAAGGCCCTGGCCACAGGTTTTCCTCACTTTTAGTATTATTTTCATTTTTGGTGTTGTAGGAGGCTCCCGGAATCCCTGAGCAGCGTTAAGTGGTTACATGCACAGTTGCCAAGCAAAAGGCTGGTAGTTCAAATCAACCCCAAAAGCTTCCGAAAAATTATCCACTGAAAACTCTAGAACATGGTTCTGTCCTGATACACAGGGGACCGCTGTGAGCGGGGGTCAACACACTGGCCACTGACTGTTTTCCTTTATCTGCGTCTAGTCCGGGGATGCTCAGCGTGGCACTATTTGGGGCCGGACAATCGTGGGTGGAGGATGCAGGCCAGAAACCAGCTTCAAGCTTCTACGACCTCTTGCCTCTGTCATCCCTCCCCCGACAGCAGGAGGAGGGCATGGAAGTTTCCCACTTCTTCCCAAAACACAGCTTCAGAGCCTATGGGCAGGGGCTGATGATGGGGTTCCTTGGGAATCGAGGCATTCTCAGCTCTTAATCACGTTACCGTGTACCGTCGAGTCAGAACTGACTCACGGCTGACCCTCCAGCAGGTTTTCTGAGGCTGTAAATTGCATGGGAGGAGACTGCCCATCTTTCTCCCGCAGCTGGTGGGTTCAAACCGCCGGCCTCTGAGTTGACCAAACAACTCCTTGTCACTAGGCCACCGGAGCTCCCTAAAAACCTCATCCTGGGACTAACAGTCCCACGCTCAAAGACAGGGCAATGATGGGCATAGTTCAATGCTGATTTATTTTATAAAATATCATGAATGGGAAGGATTGTATGAACTACAATGTTGAGTGAAGGAAAGTGTGAAACAGTGTATATAAACTTTGTAAACAAACCAATATAAAATTTTAAAAAATTATATAAGAAAAAAAGAATCCCATGCTTTATGAACTGAGCCAGCCAGCCAATTTTATCATGTTGTCGTGTGCCATCGAGCCAGAACCAACCCACAGCTGACCCTCCAGCGGGTTTTCAGAAGCAGTAAATCACATGGGAGGAGACTGCCCATCCTTTTGTGAAGCGGCTGGTGGATTCGAACTGCGTGCCTCTGGGATCTTGGCATGACTTCTTACCACTAGGCCACCAGAGCTTCCCATTTTGTCACAGTGCAGCCTCATAACAAGGCTTCAAAGTGGAATGCTGTGAATTTTATTTAGCAGGGGAGGAAACGGAGGCTAAGAGATGTCCAGGGTCAGTTTTACAGTGGGGAGGGACGAGCAGAGGCTCAAAAGTGGCCTGTGTGCTCCTAGACGGGGGTCGCTGAAGAGCGCGCTCCCACCAGACTCTCTTGGACCGGAAGTCAACCTCAAGTTGACACTGATGTCAGTCTCCATAACAAGCCTTCCAGGTGGCACCCCATTGGAGACAGGAACACTGAGGTCCCGGAAGGTGGACAAGCTCACCTTTAAGCACTCGGCTAGAAAGAGGGAGAGGTGGGATGTGATTTGGGCTCTGGGTGGTTGATGCCACCAATCTGCTGTTACAATCACTGAGCAATCACTCTCCTCTCCAAACTTCTGTGGATCAGCCACTGGAAAAGAACGTCTATCTCTCAAGGCTAGGCTCAAGCCCGCACCTCCTCCAGGCTGACTTCCTGGCTTTCTTCTTCGGCCCCTTCATACAGAATCACTTCCTCCCTGGGGTGAGCATGACCCACTTCCCCAGGTCAACTGAAAGCTTGGAACGGATGAACTCCAGCCCTAATTTCTCCCCTCTGCAACCCTCTTTACTCCTCTTCTACCACAGAGTAAAATCTTGTGTACTGGATACTGGGGCCACCATGATTTCCAACACTGGCTTGGCTACTTGATGCTGTGTCGCCTGGGACAAGTTCCTCAACCTCTCTGAGCTTCAAGGATTTTTATTCCCACCTCTGGACAAGAAGACAAAGGTACCCTCAGCAGACGTTGCTGGTGTCCTGCCCAATATTCATGTGCCTGGCAGTCATAGAAGTGACCTACTGTTCAAAGGTTTTCTCTCTCCACCACTGAACACAGAACTACCCATGACAGAAGAGCCTGAGATTGGAGTCTGAGTCTCAGCCAAGAACCAGTGGGAGCCAGAATGTTCCCAATAAAAGAAATACCCCAGATACTCTGCCCTTGGAGGGAACCATTCAGAGGTGTGTCCTATAAGGCCTCCTGGAGTCCCTGGAGGGAGACCCACAATGAAGAAAACACAACTTTATCATCTGCCGTGTCTTCCCAAGGGAGCTCTGGTGGCTTAGTGGGAAGAAATTGCACTGCCAACCCAAAGGAACGTGGTTCAAATCCACGAGGTGACCTGTAGGAAAAAGATGGGCCATTTACTGCCTCTGAAAACCAGCTGGAGGGTCAGTTATGGGTCTGTTCTAACTCAACAGTATACAATAAACAACAATAATCCTTTCTCGATCTCACACCTCCCTATCCCACTGGGTCTCCCTCTGACCCTATCTTAACAACCCTGCTTGTACCCAAAACCTTGCCTCAGGTCCTGGTTCTAGAAGATTCCAGATGAGGACAAACCTCCCCTCACAAAAGGCTCTGATAAGATCATTCAGCAACTATTTCGCAAAGGTTCCCAAAAGGTCAAGTGTGATCTTGAGCCTGGGAGCCAACAATTCTGGTGTATAACCAGTGCTGAACAAATGATATCATAAGCATCATTCCAGGCCAGAGATTGCAAACTGGTGGCCAGGACCTAAACTGAGTTAGTAAATAAATGTAATCTGGACTGAGCCATGTCCCCTCCTTTTACAATGGGAGATTGCCAGGGGTTGAATTTTGTTCACTCAGGTTGTTGTTGTTGTTATGTGCCGTCGAGTCGTTTGTGACTCATAGCGACCCTATGTACAACAGCCCTAAACCGTGCTCTATCCTGTGCCAATCACATTGCCTCTGACACACCCATCCCGATTACCCCAGTCACTGAATCAATCCACCTCATAGAGGGTCTTCCCCTCCTGCACTGTCCCTCCACTCTACCCAGCATGATGTCCCTCTCTAAAGACCTGTCTCTCCTTACAACATGTCAGGTACATGGATGTAATGATAGAACTGGAAGTTCTGGAATGATCCCCACACTATGATAAACCAGAGAGAGTTGATGGAGGATTGAGGGTGGAATGCAACACTCCCTAATCGCGTGGGCAGCCCTAAATTGATATCAAGGGAGTTTCCCCCACCCCCAGGGTGTGGCCTGTGATACCTTCTATCACCCCAGAAATAAAAGGGGAGGGAAAGTCTGTAGAGAAGGGGCACCTTGCTAGTAGGAAGAAAAGACTTGCCAGGAGTGGAGTGCCTCATGTTGGATCCAGGCCCCTGCTCGAGAAAGCTCTTTGCTGCTGGGGAAAGGCCAAGATGCATGGAGACTGGCAGGGAACAGGAGGCCCACAGATGCTAAAGAAACGAGGCCTTTTTCTCCACAACCAACAGAGGAGAAGTCCTTTCTCTAAGGCTGTCATGCTGAATATGGACGTCTAACATCCTAAACACTAAGAGAGTAAATATCCGCTTGTTAAGGCCATCCATCCACTTTATCTGTTTGAGCAACCCTATATAATGAAGACAGGGTTACGTATTAAAATCTACATGTTCAGATTCCATGACAAAACGTGTCAGGGCCAGTACTCTCACACGCCAAGGGTTAGCGGGAACTGGGCAGCAGGTGCCCCCGGCAGGTAGCGCATCAACATTCTCTTTGCCGCAATCCCTACCACTCCCTAGAGTCTCACTCCTAAGGTCAGGCCCCTCATTTACCTGCCACCCTGGCCCGTGCAGAACCAGAGTTTGAGAACCCCTACCCGAGAGGTATCATCAATACAGCTTAAATCGCCATCTTACCTTGGGGTCTTCTCGAGTACCTGACTCGCGCCGACAGGGCCCCGTTTTGTTCTCAAAAGTCTCCGAGCCTTCTCTGGGGAGGCTGGGCCTCCCTTTGGCCAGCTCCCGCCTCCTCTCTCTGGCTTCCTGCATGATGGACCGGCCTTCCTGGATGTGGGCCGGCGGGCCTTTCTCAGAGCAGGCCCTCTTGACGTCCAGCGGCCTTCTGCTGTCCTGTGCGTAGTCACCCCACTGAGCTCCAGTGCCCTCGTCTCCTCTCCCACTGGCCTTCTTTGAGGTCCCTTTCTTCTGGTCCATGGGGGCTGACCTGGAAGGGTCACTTGTCCCGCATCTTGGATCCTCCTGGCGAGGGGGCTTGGGCTCACCTGGGTAACTCTGACGGCTGGTGCTGTGCTTACTACCAGAGGGCTTCTTGTCCTCCTCGGGTGCTCCCAAGGCTGTTGTTCTGGGGCCCACAGGGCCAGAATTAGTCCCCAGATACTCTTCAGGAGCTGGGTTTAGTGGAGCCCACAGAGGCGGGTTCAATTTGGTGGTGGCAGCTAAGTCCAGGGTGTCCACCGGCTGCTTACCTGAGCCAGCGGGGGAGCTACGTTTTGGTTCTGTTGAGCTGGCCTGTTTCCACAGACCTTCTACCTGTACTGTCTCCTTCAGGTTCTTCCTCCACTGTTCCAGGCCTCCTCGGGGGTCCAGCCTTCCCTGGGGCAAACTGCCGACCTCCACTGGGGCACTTTCTTTCCAGTCCCGAGCTTCCACAGGGCCTTTAGCCGAATGCCCCTTGTACTCGGCCATGAGGGCGTCAATGTCCAGGACGCTGGATCGGTAGCCATCTTTGATTTTCCCAGGAAATGTCTCACTGACCACTTCCGTCCTCCTCCGGGCAGGCTGGCTGACTTGCGTGTGACTTTGGAAAGTAGGGGTCATCTTGGAAGGACTGCTGGCGGACGTCCGGTTCCCACCGTCCTTCCAAGCGTTCCGGAAGCCGCCACTGTCTTTCGACCCCCGGTGAACCCATAAAGCATCCAAATCGATGATCCGTTCCCTGGAAGGATCCAGAATTCCATCCCCGAGGGATGCTGGCCGGCCGGCCGGCTTCAAGTTCTTGGAGAGGTTGTTACTCTCACTGTCTCTTTTCTTAGCCCAGTTTTTACTGCCCACGGCCTGCACAGGCTCTTCATGGTTAAGAGAAACCAAAGTTGGTGAGAAAGAATGCGGAGATGGAGGCGGAGCGGCTCTTCTAGAATGTTCCATCAGGTTTTCAGGCCCCGACTTGGTCACGGTCCCCTTGGCTTTTTCAGCATCGGGAATCTGATACGTTACTGCAAAAAACGTTGCCTTGGGTTCCACAGGTGACCCTTGCTTCCCTGCAGGAAAAGTCCAGTCGGGGGACAGGGTCGGGCTCCCGTCCTGGGTACCCCCCCGACTGTGGGACAGTTGAGGGTGTCTTAAGGCACCAGCTGTCGGAGTCAAAGGATCTGTCTGCCTCTCCACCTTTGGTGAGTGTTCCGGGGTGAGGAAGCTGAATTCCTCAAACCTCACGTTGTGAGGTAAAGTCCGGCGCCTCCATCGCTCCATCCTCTGGTCCCCGTGATTCACTCTCCGCATCTTCACTTCGGGCTCTGGCATCGGCATGGGCCTTGGGTCACCTTCACTGGGGGCCACCAAAGGTCCTTTCTGCGCAGAGAATGCCCTCATGTCGGCAAGCTCCTCTTTAGCCCTGGAGGGAGGGCCCGGAGCCCAGCCCTGGGAGGGTCCACCCTTGTCCCTTGAAAGGTGGCCCGCTGGCTTGTTCCCAGCAGTGTCACGTTCCTCAAGCTGCACCTCTCGGATACTGGCTTTCACCACCCTTGCAGGGGGTGCCTCGAGGGTGCAGGAGCCCACCGAGCGTTCACAGGCCCCCGGGAGGCTCAGCCCCGAGCCCTTCTCCTCGCCGACCACCACGGTGGCCTTGCTCCAGCTGGCCGAGAGCCCTCCTGTCCACTTGGGCGATGAGCAAGCACGTCCGGACACCTCCTTCGGGTCTTGACAGTCGGGCCTGGGCAGCCCTCGGGCTTCCCAGAGCAAGCTGGCCCTCTGCACGGACCCAGGCTGACCTTCCGGTGTCCCCGCCGGGTCGGATGCAGGGACCTCAGGGGACAGCCGCCTCTCCTTCTGCGCGAGCCCAGTCCCGCTACTCCTCAGTGTCACTGCCTTCTCCTCTGGAGCCACGGGCACGGCCTGGCTGTGGGCCCGGGTCCCCACAGCATGCACAATGTCATACCTGGGCTCAATTTTGTGGGCCACCGGCAGGCTCACGGAGTGCTTGTAGAAAGGGCTGTTAGTGTGCTTTTCTCCCAAAGGCAGGGCCTGGTGGGTCTCTTTCGGCTCACCATTCAAAAGTGCCGTCCGTCCCAGTTTCTCTGCCTCGGGATTTTCGAACCACCTGGAGCCCTCTTTCTTGAAGTCTGTCTGTTCTGGTGGGGGCTTCCCCAGCCAAGCACCTCTGTCAGGCCTGGGTCTGCTCTCCGATACGCGAGCATCAAGCACACTGCCGGGGGCCACGGCCAGTGGGCCACAGCGTCTTGACTGGTCAGCCACATTGTGTCTCTCCACGTGATGCTCAAACACAGTAGCCCACACGGTCCGGAAGTTCCCCTCGTCCTCGGGGGTGACGTCGGACATGCACGCAGGTCCCACCACGTTTTCACGGGGACAGCTGTCCGGGTCTTGGCTCTGGCTGTCCTTCCGTTCCGTCGGCTTCGCCTTCTCCCGGAGTGTCCCTGGCTTCCAGGAGCTTCTGGAGGCTGACGTTCCAGGCCCTTCCAAGCTAGGCCCTTCTTTCTGCTAGAAAAGAAAAAGAAGAAGAAGAAAAATTAATGTTAAAAGATTCAAAACAGGAAGGATGAGGTGATCGAAATGGCAAAGTTAAAATAGTAAAATACCCCAAAATGTTAAAACTAAAACCATTTAGTGAGGGTGTGGATGCAGGGAAATGGACACTCTCTAGTATTGCTGGAGGGAACTTTACAAATATAACTTTTGCCCCGAAGAAACCATAACTGCCACCCAAGCAGATAAATGTACACCCATATTTATTGCGGCTTTGTTCACAAAACCAAAGAGTTGGAAATAACCTAAGGGACCATCAACAAACGAATGGATAGAGAAGCTGTGATATAGTCACACAATGGAATACTATGCAGCACTGAAAAACAAAGAACACATGAAATCTACAAAATGGGTGACCCTGGAGGACATTATGCTGAGTGAAATATCTCAGTCACAAAGGGACAAATACTGAATAGTGCCACTGTTGTAAAACGGGACTGACATTGGGACTGGGGGGAGGCTGAGAACGAGGGGATAAATTATGTATACTGCATTGAAACAGAGGAGGGAGAGAACTGTTTAAAAGGGATATATGATGAGGTATTATTGTCCTGACAAGAGTCCAGAACGAAGGCTGCATAGTGGAGTGGACCTGGGGAGAGGGATTATAAAACAATGAAAGAATTTTTCTTTTACTTTTCAAAGAGAAGAGTGAACTGGAGGGGAGGGGTGGGCAGGGAGAAAAGTGCAACAATGAGTGAATGGAAATCCAAAGTCTTGGAAAACTTTCATCAAAAATAATTTAAAAAAATATATAACTTTTGAACCATTTAACAGAACTATTATTGTGGTTTAAATAATACAGATGGAGCTCTGGGGACCTTGTGGTCAACAGCTGCACTGCAGTCCCAAAGGCAAGCAGTTCAAATCCACCAGCTGCTCCTCGGGATAAAGATGGGCAAACTCCTGCCATGTAATTTGCTGCCTTTGGAAACCCACTGAAGGTTCAAGTTACAAGTCGGTTCTGACTCAAGGTAAACAAGAAAAACAACAAATTGGAATTTTTAATTAGTTATTCTCTTTTCTCTGAGCAAGCTCCTTCCAGGACTCTTTTCTTCATCCCTCGGCGCAATTCTAAGTGAGAAAAAAAGCTCAAATTAAAAAGAGCCGCTTTCGCTTCTCCTGGGTACACACCCAGGATCGGCCTTGCCGAGTTACATGGGAATCCTATGTCCAACTTTTTGAGGAACCCCTCAACTGTTTTCCACAGTGGCTGTACCATTTTATAGTCTCTCCAGCACCAGAGGAAGGTTCCCGTTTGCTACAACTTCCTTCACCACAATCTGCTGTTTCCCTTTTTTTAAAAAATACGGTCATTTTGACTTGTGTAATGGCTAATGAACAAGGGAACACTGACACTATGCGGTTTAAAATCAAGACAGGTGTACTTTAGGGCTGTATCATCTCTCCATACCTATGCAAACTGTATGCTGAATAAATTATTCGAGAAGCTCAACTTTACAAAGAATGTGGCATCAACACTGGAGGACGACTCATCAACAAACTGCCTTCAGCAGGTGACACAGCCTTACAAGGTGACAGCAAGCAGGACTTGAAATGCTTGCTGCAGAAGATCAAAGAAAGGCTGAAGCCTTCAATATGGACTACATCTCAATACTGAGAAAACAAAAACCCTCACCCCTGGCTCAACAGACAGCATGATGATAGAGAAAAGACTGAAGTCAGTGATTTCACCTTGCTTGCTTCCACCATCAATACCCTTGACACCAGCAGTCAAGAAATCAAAAGATATGGGAGGAAGAGTGCAACAGTGAATGACTGGAAACCCTAAGTCTCTGTAAACTTTCATTAAAATTAATAATAAAAATTTAAAAAAATTTTCTAAAAAATCAAAAGATATATTGCATTGGGAAAGTCTGCTGGCAAGGACTTCGCCAAAGGGCTAAGGAGCAATGATGTCAGTTTAAAGACTAAGGTGCACCTGACCCAAGACTTGATCTTTTCAGTTACTTCCCATGTATTTGAAAGTTGACCAATAAACAAGGATGACAGTAGAAGAATTGATTGGAGAAGAGTCCTGAGTATCCCATGGACCGCCAGAAGAACAAAGAAATATGTTTTAGAGCCAATATAACCAGGGTGGCTCCTTAGAGGGAAGGACGGTGAAATTTCGTCTCCTATATTTTAAGTATATTGTTAGGAGGGATCATTTCTTAGAAAAACACAGAATGCTTTGAAAGGTGGAGGGTCAATCAGTCTCACTGAGGGTCCTCCTCTCGTTCGCCATCCCTCCAACCTCCCAAGCATGATGTCCCTTTCTGAGAAACAGCCTCTCCTCACAACATGCCCAAAGTCTATGAGAGAGAGCTGCTGCATCCTTGCCTCTACGGAGCACTCTGGTTGCACTTTCTTCACGGCATCCCTCAGGGCTCTTAACAACGGGTTCAAGTATGTCAGAGATGATCAGGAAAGCACAGGGTAAGGCCAGGTTCAGATCCACTGTTCACAGCCTCACTCTGAGTCATATTCAATTCAGTGGCACCTAGCAACACAACAAATGGCTAATGACATTTGCTTGCTGGCCATTTGGTGAAATGCCCGTTCAAATCCTTTGTCCACGTTCTAACAGGGTTGTAAAGCGTGTCTATTTTTAAATCCATCTAAATTTCTTAAAAAGTTAAAATAGCTACCAACCACGTGATGTGGCAATTCTGCTCCTGTGTATTTGCCCCAGCGAGAAGAACACAGCTTTCAGCACAAAGCCTTGTCCGCTAATGTCCACAGCAACATTATAATGGGTCCCAGGCAGGAAAGAATCCATGGTAAATCAGTAGGTGAAGAGTTGAACAAGTTGTGGCCTCCTCAACCATAAACAGGCAAGAGCTACTGATACACATCTCTCTGGTGGTTCGAATCCACCAGCTGCTCTGCGGGAGAAGGATGGGCAGTCCTCCCCCCGTGCGACTGACTGTCTCTGAAAAACCTCCAGAAGTCAGCTATGGGTCAGTTCAAACTTGACAGTACACAACAATAAAATGAGCATATTTTTTGCAAACACAAGGGAGAAATACCCTCAGTGATAGGGACTGACACAGTGACTGTGATACTGGGTTCTAGCGTGGCAGAGATGATGAGATGGCACAGGACAGGACAGGGGACAATTGTGCACTGGGTCGCCATGAGTCATACTCAATGGCCCCGACAACAACCACAACAAGCTAGAGCGTGGAAGCTCTTTTTCCATGAAGTTCAAATACCCAGGTTCCCGCAGCGGGGAGGTAATAGAGCTGGGACCAGCACCCCTCATGTAGTGTGGGAGAAATGGTTAACAAGCTTGGCTGCAAACCAAAAGGTCGGAGGTTCAAGGCAACTTAAAGGCACCTCAGAAGAAGGCCTGAAGATCTACTTCTGAGAAATCAACCACTGACAGTCTTGTGGAACACAGCTCTACACACAGGGTCACCAAGAAGGGAGGTGGACTCCACGCAGATGGTGGTACACACACACACAGCGGGAAACACAGGGTGTGAGAGCACAGCCAGCCTCACCTGTCTCGTGTCCTCCGAGAGCTTTCTGCTCGCCTCTGGAAGCTTCTCATACTGGCCCTCGCGGCTTGAAGCAGGACTTGAAAACCTGGTAGAGAGAAGGCAGTTTGTTACTCTTGACAAGGCTGGTTGCTGTGACTACACCCAGGCCACTCTCCATAACTTGTTCTGGAGCCCACAGGACGCAGCTGGCCACGTCACCCAAGCCACACTGTCTGACTGCCTCTCTGTGCCAAAGAGTGTCCTCTCCCCACATCTGATAAAGGGGCGGTGGGCAAGGTCCACCTCAGACACAGCATGCTCAGGCGGATGGGCCCCAGGCCGGCGGAAGAGCCCTGGCTGCCGGCCCCAGCTCTACCACTTCCCCACTGCGGGAGCCTGGGCGGGAGGTGACCTCACCTGAGCTTCTATTTCTTCATCTATAAAACAGGTATAATTAATACCGCCCCGTCCTCCTCTGCAGGGCAGGGAAGAAACCACCCCGGGTCCTAAGAGTTACACGAGGGCATCAGGGAAGAGCAAAGATGCCCTACGAGGGACAATTAATGCTTAAAGTCAACAACCGGGGCACACAGCAACAACAGCTTCGCGGTGGCCTGGCCAAGGAGGCAGGAGGCAGTGGACTGCCGTGAATGTGCAGCCAGGAGTCTGGCTCTGCCTCTCTAGGTCACCTTGGCCATGCCACTGTCCCTCTCCAGGCCTCAGTCTCCCCACTCGTCAAGGGGGACAACAGAGCACAACAGGAATTTTCCATTTCTGAAATGCAGACCCCTGAAGGGGTTGCACTTGCCAAGCTCAAGGGTGAGACCACAGAGGTAAGGAGGACGAGGTGAACTGAGCCACTGAACCCTGACCCACGAGGCCCTGAGCATGAGAATAGCGCACAGCTATTCATCAAAACTATGGGGGGTTCTATGAGGAAATGAGAACTGAGGCACAGACGGAGACTTGTACACCAATGTTCACAGCGTTATTCACCATCATAAGAACATGGAAACAGCCCAAATGTCCAACCACTATCAAATGGACTGAGAAATGATGATACATTCACACAGTGGAATACTATGCAGCACACAGAAGCAATAACTTTGTAAATTATTACCTAACTTGGAAAGGACTGGAGAGCATTATGCTGAGTGAACTAACTCAGTCCCGTAAGGACAAATACTGTATAAGACCATTATTGTAGAACACGTATGAGGACCCAAGTGGGGGAGTATGGGAGGAGAGGGGTGAAGATGGGCAGGGGGTGTGGGGGGGGCAGTCATAAGGTCACACAGCTTGATGGGTGGAGGGAGGGGCACGTAAAGGAAATGGGAAAGATCCGGGTGTGAAAAACAATGTATATGGACTTTGTAAATAAACCAGTATGAAATTTAAAAAATTTCCTTTTAAATTGAAAAAAAAAACAAACCCAACAACAAAATACCAAAACCTGTGGGGTTCTAAGCCCACCCGGAGGTGCCGAGGAAGAAAGGCCTGGTAAACCACTTCTGAATAGCCACAATGAACGCTCTGTGGGACGCAATTCCATTCTGCATATCTGGGGCCATCAAAAACGTCAGACTGGTGACTTCGGTCCACAACCAGCAGTGTAAATTCTGTCTCATGGGCTCCCAGCGACCCAGGTGGGACTGTTTCTGAATGGGAGGAGAGTCTCTGATTCCTCCTCTCATCGTACTAACACCCAAGACACACACACACACACACGCGCGCGCGCACATTCTCTAAAGAATGGAGGTTCCTATTCCAGGTGCTATTTTCTGTGTGACGTTAACTCGGGGGTCCTCAGGCCTGGCTGGACCTGAGAAGCTCTCAGGGAGCTTTCAGAAGCTGGCAAAAACATCAGCCCCTCCTCAGATCAAGTTAATGGGCATCTCTGGGGACGCGGCCAGCGGTTGGTATTTTTCCAGGTGGTTCTAAGGATTGAGAGCCTTCGGATTGGCTGCCCTGGTTCCCAGGAGCCAGTGCGCCCACAGTTCTGGCGCTGGGAGCTCCACCCTGGACAGAGTAGGCCAGTGGCATGCATGTCATTGTCACGCTGTGACACCGGCATGCTGGGGCCGAGGCGCCTACAGAGAGAAAGAAAGCCAAGAGAGGTAGGGCCACGCTTTGCAAATCATTATTCACAGACTGATGTGTTAGCCACAGTATATTGGCATCTCTGAATCTCTGTCTCAATCACATAGACTCTCTTTGCTGTCAAGGTGGGACCAACTTGTAGCTGCCCCTCCAGTCCATTTCTGAGGCTGGAAATTGGAGCGGAAGAGAAGACCCCTCTTTCTCCCTGGGAGTCACTGGGGGATTTGACCCAGCAGAGAAGTGTGGCCTTTCATGTGGCAGTGCAACTCCCTACAGACTCCATCACATATCAGGCAGGTCTTTGTATTGTACCCATTTTCCAGAAGAAGAAACTGAGGCTCAGTGAGGGGACATGGCCTCCCCAAGGTATCACGACCCCCGGATTTTGTTCTGCACAGAAGCAGGGAGAAGACAAATAGTATGTACTCTCAGATGGAGCTGGAACCGCAAGCAGGTTCCCAATTTCCTTGCAGTGCCTCAACCTTTCCAAACCTCATCTGTGAAATGGGTACAAGACCTCTGAGTTAAGATGACAAGAGGCAGCCCAGCCACTGGCACACAGGGGTCACAGAGGGGACCTGACAAACCTCCTCACAGCTCAGCTGATTCTTCTAAGAAACGGAAACAGCTACTCCTCTATCTCAGGGCTCTGAGTTAATGGGGAAAGGGCGTGTAAAGGGCCTAGCCTGGAATGGCAGGGTCTCTGGTAGGCATTTTGAGCCCACTTGGCCAAGGCCCATGGAAGGGCCTCACTTACGCTTTGTTCGAATCCACTGACGGTGTCCTCGCCTGGAACGCCCTCCTCCTGGTCTCCTGATCTCTCTTAGGCTCGGTGGACTCGGCAGTCCAGCCTTTGATTCGCTCCTGGACACTCACGGCCCCCTTCTCTGGCTCAGGGGCTGCTGACGGAGACTCGGGGGTGGCCAAGGCGGGGGCCGAACCCACCGCCAAGGCCGAGGCACCCTCGTCCCCAAACAGGCTGATGCGTTTCTTGACGCTCCCTTTGGAGGCCCACGTCTCTGCCGCCTGGACCTCCCCATCGGCCACTCTGCCTTTCGCCTCTGCGGACTCCTGACCCTTCCCAGACCTGGGGCAGGGAGACTCGGGCATCCTTTCCACTTTCCCGTCTGGCTTGGCTTTCTCGTCCCCAAGACTCTGGTCATCTTTCAGGGTAACTCTGGCCGAGTCCCCTGCGGTCCTGAGGATGCCCAGCTCTGCCTGTTTGAAAATCATCCTTTCCTTCCACGCCTGAGTCCTCCTGGCCACACAGTCAGAATCCACATCGTGAGGGGGACCCTCTGCCGTGACTGACCACTCCCCGGGCATTGTGGGCTCTGTACTGGGCCTTTCTGTCCTTTGACCCTGGGCAGTGGGAACCATCACAGACCCGTTCATCTCGTCAGTCATCTTCTTGAGCAAAACCTCTCTGCTCTCAAAGGGGGCTGTGAGGTCCATGGACAAAGGCCGGGGCTTCCTCACCCATGACTTCTCAGGGGGGGTGGGGGGTGATTTCCCCACCACGGCCACCCCACCATGGGCCAGCTTCTGGGGATGAGCTGATTCCAAGAAGATAGCCGACACTGGCCTTCTTTTCAGGGCTGGCCTGGTCTCCACAGGGGGCCCCACAGTGTCCTCTAAACCGCTGGCCTTTGAGGGGGGCTCACTCTGACCTCCCTCATCTTGGTTTATGGCTGGCCTTGTCTCCTCGGACAGGGGAGTGGGTCGGGGAAAGGTCCCCAGAGGTTTTCTGGCAGGCAGGGCAGGTTTGGGGGCCACCTCGGGCCGAGATCCAGAGGGGGGCTCCTGAGGGACCCCTGCTTTGGCCTCCTGTGTCACCTCAATGTTCCCCTTCCCCAGAGCGGGCCCAGTTTTGATAGTTTCAAAGAGAATCATGGTGCTGGGGTTGGACTGAAGCAAGGAGGATTTGCTGTGGAAAGATGAACTTCTCCTGGGGCCCTCCGCGCCCTCTGTCTCCTGGGTGGGCATCTTCTCATCCAGACCCTTCACCAACACGTCCCGGGAGAACCCACTGGACGAAATTGGTCTGCTCACACCAGGCCGCAACGATATGACGGGAGCTCTCACATCCAGGGCCTTCTCCTTGGAGAAGGGTTTAGGGGCGAGTCTCGGCAGAGGGAATAATCGGGCTGAGCTCCTCAGGGGGCTTTTCCCGTCTAAGATCTGCACCGAGGGCACCCCTTCAGCCTGGCGGAAGTAGCTCCGCTTCAGAGTCTCCTCCGTGGGGATCTCCCCAAGGCCCGGCACCCCAGGCAAGGAACTCAGAGAGCCGACCTCCACTCGGGTCGCCATGGTTACGGCTGCAGGTCCATGGGGGAATCAGAGCATCCAAAATGGAGACACAATTGCTAAAAAAAGAAAAGAAAAGAAAAAAAGGTTATATTTCAGTCAGTATTAACATACTTGAGTGACAAAGTTATAAACTTCTTAGTCAAAACACTCTGAGGGAATAAGTTTCGGGCCTCAAGACTCATGGTCTCAGGAGACATCAAGGTCAAGTGGCCTTGCTGAGTTCATCAAAATAACGCTCTGCATCATACCATAGTATCTCACAACTGAAATCGTCAAAGCTTGTGATCAGGCCTCCAAGGTGCAATTATTGGTCATTCCAGAAAAGCAAAGAAAACAGAAGATTCATAGTAACGATTCATTCCAAAGGAAACGCATGTGAACGTCAACCTCACTGGAACTACAACCTGAAACTCACTTGAACTTCCATCCCACTTGAACTACAACCCTGAGGCCAGAAGAACTAGCAGGTGTCCGGCTACCGTTGCAGATTGTTCTGAAAGGGATCACACAAAACCCTCCTGGACAGAGTGGATGGATACTGGGGGACAAGGCTCCAAAACAAAAGTGGTCAATCTTACTGATTTGAAAGAGAATGGTGGAACCATCGAGACTAAAGCGTTGAGTCATCCTTCAAGCCTGATCTGAACTCACCCCTGGTGCTCAACGTCCAGCCAAACAATAGACAGGCTTGTAACATGAGCAAGTAACACCTGTGAAGTTATTCCTTAGAACAACCAGTCACGGAAGACCAAAAGAGGAGTATATACACCTCAGATGGCTGGAAAGTGTTGGCTAGATGGGTTCATGAAAATGGGAATCACTGGGAGGGACCAGGAAGAGTGCTGTTACAAGGTGGAGATTGTCATGAAGGTATAAATAATGTACGTAATGAATGTAGGTTAAAAGGAAAAGCTATTAAAAAAATTAAAAAGCAAAATCCATTTTTTCCACCCTCAAATTGTCACTCAAATCAGTTTAAAAACCACACTGGGTCAGTGTGAGGTTAGCAGGTAGCTTATGAGCTGTGGTATAAGGGAGTTTTGGGGGTGTCTTAAGAGACAGACCAGCATTCCAGATACAGAACTTCACTTCCTTGAGTCCCAAGCAGGGGGAATGGACTAAGTGGTCTTCTCTAACTTTCTAACTTTCTCAAGGGATTGAAAAAAAAAAATACACATACACACACACACACACACAGTAGGAAGCCTTACACGTCTTGATCTTAAAATCTGCCATGGTGATCAAAAGAGAGGGTCAATGAATGGATGCCGTTAGGTCACCAGATTTGGAGCTCTGGAGACCTAGTGGCAAGACGCTGCACTGCAATTCCGAAGGCACGTGGTTCGAGGCCACTGGCTGCTCTACGGGAGAAGGAGGGGCAATCTCCTCCCATGCAATTAATTGCCTTTGAAAAGCAGCCAGAGGGTCAGCTATGGGTCGGTTCCAACTCTATGGTACACAACAACAACAATCATCACTGTGGTAGACGGACGTAAACGGAATGCGATGCAACACTAAAGAAGCAGGGAATTCACTCTCCAAAAAAAGGCTTCAAAAATCCATAAAATGAAAGTATGCTTAAATGGATAAATCCAAAAGGCATTATGATGAATTAACTCAGTCACAAAAGGACAAATACTGTGTTCATGATTATAAAAAGCTAAAGAAAGGTTTACCTATAAAATCATTCTTAGATGTTTAACGGTGATTAAAAGGGAGAGAGAAAGGATAGTAAAATTCAGTAGATTGATAATAGAGGCATACATAATATATGTGAGGGGGAGAAAGGCAGTATATAGAATAAGGGGGTGATCTGCACCATGTCACTAAAGAAAAGGGCAATATGGAGAGATTTCCAAGAAATACAGTCAGCAAATGCAAATGCTATTACATACGTAATCTGCAATATCACAAAAATAAATGTTAATCTAATGATGTCCGTCTAGAGACTAAGGTGCACCTAATCCAGGCCATGATCTTCGCGATTACTTGCTATGAATCAGAGAGCTGGACAATGACTAAGGATGACAGAAGAAGAATTGATGTCTTACAACTGTGGTGCTGGAGAAGAGTCTCGAACTACCATGGACTGCCAGGAGAATAAACAGGTCTGTCTAGAAGAGAGGAAAACCAAGTCTCTTCTTCGAGGCTAGGATTTTGAAGCTCCATCTCACATACTTTAGGCATGTGGCCAGGAGGGACCAGTCCTTGGACAAGGACATCATGCTCGGAAGGGTAGAGGGACAGCGCAGGAAAGGAAGACCCCAGATGAGGTGGAATAACACAGTAACTGAGGCAATGGGTGTCGGAGTCAGTGAGATTGGCTCAGTATATGGCAGGCTTCAGAGCTGTTGTGAATAGGGTCACTATGAGTCACAGGCAACTCGACAGCACATAACAACACTATATACATAATCTCCAATATCATAATAATAAATGCTAATCTACAAGCAGATACAAAGGCAGGCAGACCGGCAAGCAAGGCAAACAGATATGGACAGATGAAAAAGACCACCCCCATGACCATATAACCAGATGGTATGTCTGTATTTCTATTAATATATGCTGAAAATACACTGGCAAAGCCAACAGTTTTCAAAATGACATAGACTTCTTAATCTTAACCAAACACCCTGACGGAATGAGTTTTTGGTCCTGAGGCCTCAGATCTCTAGTCTCAGGGGACATCAAGGTCAAGTGGTATGACATAGTAACTAAACAAAGCAAATGTCCTTCAAACCTACTTTGGTGAATAGTTTGGAGCCTTAAACTGAGTCTTAAAAATGCTTACAAGCAGCCATCTAAAGTGTGACTTATTGGTCTCTCTCCGAGTAGAATAAATAAAAGTAAGGGTGAACAGGAAACAGTGCAAAGCACTTAGGATGGCTTGAACCTCAGCTTCCACAGCTCTGAGACCAGAAGAACTAGATAGTGCCTGACAACCACAGCTGAGCACCTGAAAAGGGATCACGGAAAATTGTCCTGAATATTGTGCAGGGAAATTTGGAACAAAACTCAGAAAACCGGGGGGGGGACCAATCCAAAAATCCAAACCATAAGAAATGAGTTAGTCTTACTGGTATGCTAGAGAATTTCCGAGACTGTAGCAATTAGACTCCCTTCAAAACTCCAACAAAAATTCATTCCAGTGGCTCAACTTGCAGTCAAACAATGGAAAGGCCTTATAAAGAGATGAGTATCAACAGGGAGGCATTAACTCCTTAGAAGAGCCAAGCACTTAAGGTCAAAAGGGCAGTATGTGCCCATGGATAAAGCCCAGAAGGCAGTAAAGAGTAGGCTAGGATTAATGGAGAGAAGAATCACAGGGAGGGAATGGGAAGAATGTAGTTACAATGTGGGTACTGTCAGTAAGGGCATAAAACAAAATGCATGTGGCAAGATGGGAAACCAATTTGCTTTGTAAATTTTCACTCAGATCTTATTTTGGAAAAGAAAGTTGAATTGGCAAGTGCTAGGATATATAAAGGTATATCTAAAAATACATACAGATACATACATATATGGAAAAAATATATATATGGAATACATACATATATATGGAATACATACATATATATGGAATACATACATATATGGAATATGTTGGTGTTGGTATACGCCACTGAGTTGGAACCAGCTCATAGCTAACCCTCCAGTAGGTTTTCAGAGGCTGCAAGCTGCATGAGAGGAGAGACCCATCTTTTTTTCTCCCACGGAGTAGCTGATGGATTCAAACTGCCTGCCTTTGGGATGGCAGTGCAGATACTTATCCCCTAGACCATCAACACTCCTATGAGATAAGATAGGATAAGATGGGATAGGATAGATAGATAGATAGATAGATAGATAGATAGATAGATAGATAGATCTTTGTACCATATGTGTGTGTATGTTTTATATATTTCCTTTCTTGATCTTAAAAATAGATACCAGACAAGCTTCTATTCTTGGTCCCATTGGTCCCCTCAACTTCAAGCCAGTGTCATCATGCCAGCGTCACATCCCCCACGCCCCAGAGAGACTGAAGGGAGAAGGTTTTGGAATTCGGAGCAAGCTGCCCAGGGCTGCACCGGCTCTGACTCAGCCTGCAGCCCCAGCAGAGAACAGCAGATTTTGATATTTTTCTCTTCCCTATACACTCAGTGGTGCTCACAGATTCCATCTTCCCAATCCAGAGCGCATTGTCTAAGTGTGGTTTGGAGGCAGAGCTGGAAAGACAGACAGACACAGCCAGGGACCCACAGATACCACACCCTAGGCTTGAAGAATTCCATCGGCAGGGACCCCAATGCACTCCGGATCCCATCACTAATCAGGGCTGTTTGCTCATCATTCAAGCCCGTCCCTGTGGCCTCAGGGAACACAAGGAGCCTGGATATGAGGTGCAAGTTAATGGTGGGGTGCAAGGATGACTGGGTGAGCCCCAGGGGCAAAACGCACAAGTGTCTGCAGCCCTCGACACCACTGTCCCCGTGGCCTGGCCAAGACCAGCACTTACCAGCACTGGCAGGCCCTTTATCTGCCAGAAGGAGCCCAGTCTGTCACCTCTCACCCCTGCCTGGTGACGAGGGCCGTCGGCACATTCCCATGGCAAAGGCGACAGTCCCCGCAGGCTGAGTTCCAGCAGGTCTGGAGAGACACAGAATGACAGTCTTGGTTCCGGAGTTCCAGCAAATATCTGCACAGACGGTGCCAGAGCTCTCACGGTCTGGCAGCATCCGCGGGCATCGCCGGCAACTTGGGAAGTGACGGCGTTTCAAAAGGCTGCCCTTACTTGTGCGACAGCATAGATGGTGCTGCGTGCACAGTAGGTGCTCAGTGAAAAATCTCCTCCGAGACGTGACTGAGCGGCAGCCGTGTGCTGGGCTAACACAGATGAATGAGAAGCATCATCGGCAGTCGGGGAAGGAAGTTACCACACGCGCACACGGAGATCTGCGAGCAGTCACAACACAAGAGGAAGAAATAGCGCAGCTTATGGGGAGGGGGTGTGGGAGGAG